TCTCACCTTTCATTCTTTAGGTAGCAGGGAGGTTCTAATTTTGGTTGTATTTAGATTTCCCTTGACCCTAGTTTGGTATTCAACATCTCTTCAATAAAGGTTGCTCAATTCCTATTGGATCCTATTCGAATTGCTCCACTTGGACTTTGAATCATCAGATATTGAATCCCTTTCAGTTTCCTTAGCCCATTAATCCCTTGCTTGGGATGGTTATGTTTTCTCTGTTAATGGATAATTCTTATTATTAGTCCTTAGGCATGAATGCCCCGGAATAGGGTCCTTGATCGAGGCTTGAATACCTCTCTTGGCTATTTGAAAGGGTGAGTAAGTGTTCACCCTACTCTTCGATGTCCTTCCCAATTGCAACTTCAAATTTCTCCTCAAGTAAATCCATGCTGGACCCTACTTCGATACTCGAGTCTTGATGTGACTCTTAGGTGAACGAAATGAGTACCTCTTTGTTAATATTCCAGAGGTCAAATATATATATATATATATATATATATATATGAGAGATGTAGATAAAATATATATGGGTAAGGATGTACAGCAAGCTTTTTATTTTTTTATTATAAATTTTAAAATTTGTACAGTTTATATTCATTCTATTATGCTTTTTCAGTATATTTAAATTTTATTACTTTAAAATAATTCTAGGATATATAAGTATGTTCAAATTATATTACTTGTTTTCTTTTTATCGTAAATTTTTTTTTTTTGTTCTTCTATTGTTTCTTGCATTTCTACTTGCAATTTTTGGTTAAAAATGACTGAACTAGTAAAGATATCCCCAAGTCAATGAAAGACCTAAAAGAAATTGATACTTGGAAGAACTTTAGAATATGAGGCTTCCAATATCTGAGTGTTTAATGATGGATGTATATTATGAGATTAGCCTTTGGTATAAGAAAGGCATAATCACTCTATTACCTTATGAATTTCAAGAAAAGTTTGCTTCAACTTTGAATGTAGTCAATAGTACATCTTCAACCACTCAATTATATATCAAAATGAGAAAAATGATTATAACCTTCTAACCATCTTGTACAAAGAATAAGTAGCGATTCAAATTGGGATCTTGTGCTTGATTGGCCGCTTTATTACTATGTAATCATACAATATCATAAACTTTACTCATGTGCACCAGGTCTTTTGGTGTTAACCAATTTGATGCTCTTAACTTAGGGAATAAGCTACGAATACGTTGTCACCTAAAATGAATAATAATTTAAGTTATACTCTCAGCTATTCGACCTTGATCGGATAGTTGAAAATGCATGTTATCATTTAAATTTTAATATTTTTCTACAAATTAGATTAAGATGAAATTTTGGACGGATCTACTACATATTAAGGAACACAAACAAACTATAAAATAAATCATTTTCCAAAATTTAGAGTAACCAAACTACCCCTAAAAAATGATTAGGGCAACTAGTCATTATAATTTTTTTGAATATTGTTTTTTTTATTTTTCTATGATAGATGATGGTATCAAATAGAAAAAAGATTAAAATTCAATTAATAACAGGAATTATCAAACATCTGATCAAGATATGCTATAATGTGAATGTATCCTAAACTACTATTCAATTTAGATACCACCTATTGGTAGTTTTATTATGGGAAATGACCTTGTGAGACCCACCTAAGATATGCTATCATGTGAATGTATCCTAAACTACTATTCAATTTAGATAGTTTTATTATGGGAAATGACCTTGTGAGACTCTCCTACACCCATGTGTGTAGGACCTCAAAGGATCACCATTAAATTTAGCACAAATCTCTAGAAAAATCAAGTACCACGACCATGTGATCACTTTTCTAGAAATCTGTATCAAATTTAATGGTGATTCTTTGAGATCCTATACACATGAGTGTGTGAGGGTCTCATAGGATATTACTCTTTATTATTATAATACGTACACTATATATTTTATATATTTATTTTTCAAATTTCTTTTTGTATATTGTCAGATTGGTGATTGGGCCAATCCTTATGAGAACCGGTGAATGTGGCTCTAAACCCTAAATGATCTTAATTAATAGTCTTCCCTTTAATTTTCCCAGGATCCATGAGAGGACGGGCGTGTTAAAGTAAAAGGCAAAATCAATGTTTGATTCGGATACAAATTGGGGATCGGCCAGAATGAATCAATTACCGTCAAGTATTGGCAAGCGGTTTGAGACTTTGTTGGATCCAGATACAAATTGGGGATAGCTCAGGATGAATCGATTCCCATCAAGTATCGGAAAACAGTTTGAGACTATGTTGGAGTGGGTGATCTAATCCAGATAGGGCTGATCACCTTGCTCCCATTTTTTATTTTTTGTTATTATTTTTTTTAACTTCTTGTTTTGACCCCTTCTCACCCTAAGAATTGCTGATTCAAACCGGCTTTTTAGATAACTTTGGCCCTGTCGATCCGGTTTTTAAAACAACAGGCAAAAAAAAAAAACGCGAGTCCCAGGAATCGGTACTTACCGTGTCGGTTCCGGCACAAAACCGAGAACCGCCCGAGGTCCTAGAGCAGAACCGCTGTGGTTCTCACTCGATTCTAGCCTTCACACATGTGTACGTGTCACACATGCCCACACGTGCACCGGTTCAGGCCTCACATGAGTGACACGTGGCCATCGCACGAGAGTGACACGTGGCAACTCATCTCTTGTTTGCCTCCATCACGTTTCTACACGCACAACAAGAAATCTAATACACATTACTTTATAGAGAACCAAGCAACACTCATCTTTCAATGTGGGATAATTCCTACAAAAAGTCATTAAAGCAATATCATTGAATATATATTATTATGGAAGCTAAAAAAATCACATGGGGTGATGTGGTTATGTTGGTTGACAACATTGAATTTTGGGCGCTTGTCTTGAGTTTGAACCCCATAGCTTACACCAAAAAATATTTTGAGTTCGAACCCCTTATCGCACAACAAATTTTTTTTTTTTTGAGATTGACCCTTAACGCACAACCAAAAAATACAAAAAAAAATTTTGTTGTCAAAAAAATAAACAAAGGTAGAAAATAATGTTGTAAAAAAATAGAAAAAATATAAAATAAAAGGCTTTTCAAAATAAAGATAAAAAAGATAATACAACATTTTTTTATTTTTCTTGTAAAAAAAAAAACCATTTGTTGTCAAAAAAATAAACAAAGGCAAAAAATACTGTAGTAAAAAAATATAAAAAATAGAAAAAATATAAAATAAAAGGCTTTTCAAGATAAAGATAAAAAAGATAATACAACATTTTTTTATTTTTTTTGTAAAAAAAATACAAGGTAATATAACAAGTATTTCTTGTAAATAAAATAAAACAAAAGGCATAAAAAAATAAAATCCACTTGACAACATCATTTTTTTATTTTTCTTGTAAAAAAAAAATAAAAAGTAATACAACAAGCAAAAAAAAAATGTAGTACATCTTATTCTTTTGTAAAAAAAGTAAAATAAAGATAATCAATAAGTATCATATTTCTCTTGTAAAAAAAAAAAAAAGATAACACAATAAGTATTTTTTGTCAAAAAATAAAAGGTACTTTCTTCATACAACCTAGGAATAAATGGTCTAATTATATTTTTTATTTTTTATAACAAGATGGTCTTTAACATAACTTAATAATATTAATTTAAAGATATGATTCATACAATGAGGCCATTTGAAATCTCTCTTTTTCTACTAACAATCTCTTCCACTAATTTATTCTAAAAACCTAAAAAATTAAAGAAAATTGGTACGCATTCTAATAATTTCTACATTGATAACCAATCTTTTAGTTTATTTATTAATTTTTATATTATAAATCATATAGTGTACTATTTTTCTACAGTTGTCAATAATACATTTTAAATGATGATATTAT